TTTATTTTATAAAAGGTTCAATTGGATAACAAAATTGTATTCAAATTTGAATAATAAATATTTTATTCTGTCTTGATTAATCAATTAATAACATACAATATAGAAATATTATAAATATATTCAATTCAAGTTAATGAATTTTATGCTTCTTCCATTGGATCAATTGTAGTTATAGTGTCTGTTCGCATTTTCTTCGGTGGTTGTTCAGGACCTTGATGTAATATATCAGGGGGGTTGTGATCTTTTACCCACTCAGCAGCTATATTAGTGGCATCAAGTTGTATAGCAAATTTGGGTCCAATTTGACGAATGCGCAGATGTGCATCCAAAGTTTCAGCATCCATTAGACTTCTACGTTTATCTTTAATATATTGCATGACACTGAACCTGTAATATAAATTATAGTAAATATACAACCTTTCGTATGCAAATATACTACCCGGTCTCGCAACAACTCGAGGACAACGGTAAAGAAATTAACGTCTTAATGAATTGTGTATTAATATCGTCCCAAATAATTCCATCTTTAAATAAATAATAATTCCAAAATTTTAGGAATGATTTGGTCTTCATTATATTATAATCATTAGATGTGGAAATTTTTGTCAATATGGTAAGGAGTCTTTGGAATGAATCATCTTTAAACTCAATATCAAACATTTCAAATATTTCTTGAATCATATCAGAATTTTCGGGTGATATATTTTCAACTAATTTAGGTTCAAATAGACTGAATAGTCTTAATTTGTCAGAGGGTATAATTGCATTTAATTCTGTTATTATTGATTCAATCAATTCTTTCCTGAATGTTGATAATTTTGGAAATTTTTCAATTTCTCTCTCTTCAAATACAATGTTGTATTTATCATGGGCTATTCCGAACTTTTCATATGTTTGCATACTCCACTGCGTGTTTTCATCCATACCGTCTTCACGTATAATAAACAATAAATCATAAAACTCTTTAATGTGTAATCCATCATTATGTTCCAATTGTTTGAGTCCAGATATTAAAGTTGTGACAATTTTATCAATATCAGTAAACACTGCATTACTATCTTGAAATTGTTTTGAAGCTTTAGTTAAAAGTTCTAATATATCCCATAAGAAATAACATGAATAAATAAAGTTTTTGTTAAACAGAGTTAAATAAAACTGTTCAGCTCTATCTTGAACATCTTTTGTAAATAACTTTTCATTGATGATAGATCTTAATTCATGATAGACGGCGTCAAATGATAATAAAAATTTTTTCATCATATCACGTGAACTTGCAACGAATCTTATTTTATGAATATTTTTAAATTTATAAAGTTTTAATTGCAAAGCCTCAGACAATTCTTCTAAATGAGCTAATCTTTTATTACTGAAACCAAAATAAAATGTACTAAAATCATTTAAAACGCTTTCAATGCTTTTAACCATTATAAACTTTTTGTACGACTTATTCAAACTTAATTGTAGTTGATGAGCAAAACAATGTGTTTTAAATAATTGTTTTCTAGGATTTCCCAGCCAATCATTTAATAAAACGCTTACAGAAGTTATATCACCTTGAAGAACATTGCAACCATCGGAGACAAAACTAACTAAATTAGTTTTGATATTTGCTTCAATCCCATCCGCTATAAAATTTGTTTTTAGAAGTTTTGTAAGCGCGATCGCGTCTTGATCGGTCCTTATTTTAATAAGTTTATAAAAAACAATTTGTTGTTCAAAATCCCTCATCATTGAAAAATAACAAATTAGATAATTGTGGTTAGTTGCATCAGTAGCAGTGTCAACGATAATAGAAATAGGGGAATTTAAATATTTAATATCGTCAATTAATTTTTTAAAAAAATATTGACTAATTAATTTCATCATTCTCGATACGCTTGATTTATTGAAGAATGTTTTATGCAAATCAACCCCATTAGAATATTGCAACCAATATAAATCAATAATATTTTCAAAACTACCATGCATTTTAATAAGGGTATATACTGTGCGTACATATTTAGCAGTGCTTTCTAATAAATCATCTGGACTTACCGGTTCTCCATCAGCATACTTCTTTACCCATCCCAACACCTTTAAATGAATTGGATTTTTGGCATGAGTTCTTAAAGCATTTCTATTTTTTTCTTTTGTGTCTTTAAGCTCTCCATGTTCGGATATAATTGGCAAATTTCTAATTTTAAAATTCAATCGAAGGAGGTGTGAGTATAGAAAACAAGTATCACATCTATATCTTGACGCTGACGGGTTTGTTGGATTGTATAAATATCTAAACCATGGCTTTATGTTAGGATTAGTAACAGTGTAGATTGTCATTGTATTTTGATTTAATAATTGTTTCAACCAAACCTCTTGGAACATATTATAGCCTTCAACTTTCTGAATTTCTTGTAACTCTCTTTCAATTGTTGTAGTCAATTGTCTCTGAACATGCTCATTTTGACTATAATTATAATATATTAATTAAAATCATATTTTGAATTTATAAAATTACTTACATATCATCATCTTTTACGTTTTCTTGATTATGTGGAACTTGATTATCATATGTCACATTGTGAAGGATCATAGCTACAACATTTTGAGTACAATTAATGTATTGATTAAAACGTTGTGCTTGATCGTTAAGACTAATTAAGTACTGTAATAAATCATCATTTGATTCCATTATATCAAATGTATCAAATGACCGCTTTGATCGTGTAATTTTTGCAACACAATAGCCATTTTTACAACTTGATTGATTATAATAATTAATAAATCTTTCATTAAGGTCAGTTACATTAGCCCCAAACTGTTTTAGAATGACAGCACAGTTGGTATAATTAAGTGCTTTTATTTCTTTTGAATAATAGCAAAACACTACTGTATAAAACAATATCAAAATTAATTTCATTTTGATATAATTTACCAATTAAATAATTTATATTGTTAACCTCTCTTTATATATAAAAAAATTTATGGCTTACATGATCTTTTTACAAATACTTTTGAAAAGAAGCGTACTTTGAAACAGGGATATGATAAAAATATAATTTGTTGAGTAACTTTACTTAAATATCAGTCACGTAATACAAATTTATCGAGAATTTATCGACATAATGTGCCTGAAATTGATAAATTTCTACCAATTCTCAATAAATTTGTATTACGTGACTGATATTTAAATAAATTTACTCAACAAATTATATTTTTATCATATATCCTTGTTTCATAGTACGATTCTTAAATACAGTATTTACGAGATTTAATTTAATCATTAAATCCCTATTTTTCTTATCTGCATACTTATATTATTATACTAAGTGATATTATAATTAAACATATATACTAATATGAATTAATATTATGGTAACCATTAAACTAATTAAACCACTGACCTATTAGACCACCTACCCGTTTCCAAAGTGTTGCAACTTAAAGGACACTTCACTGAAATACACATTCGGGAGGGCTAATGGAGTGTCTGACTAAAATTAAACGCATTGATGCAATCCTGACATGTACTTTTGATGAAACCTTTTACTCAAACTGACCTCTAGTCCTTTTAAAGGTGTTACAACTTAAAGAATACTTTCCTGAAATACCTATCCGGTGAGGACTTGGCCCTGTCTGTTTATACTGTACATTATCTGTAGATAAGTTTATAAGTTATAAATGAGATACATCTGTTTTGTGTTGAATATTAATCTAATTACTGTATGTTTCAATTTTATTCAATAAAATGTTAATATTAATAGTTTGTCTACTAATTGAAATGACTATCTAGGACTTTATACATAATAACTTCCATAAAAGAAACATAACAGTTAGTACAGTATGTATTTTACACAAACAGAATACTCTGTCCTTAAAATTTACATTTACAGTAAATTTACTTTAATAGAGATTCATTAGTTTAAATATAATCAATAGTTTTTGTTTATTAATTTCTTTTCTTTTGTGTTACTCTATTAGCTTTGGAATCAAATTTATTCAATAAAATGGTATTATTTGATAATTAATTTGAATTGAATTTTCAAAAAAAATCTATTAATATCATATTATTTACTTATTTTAAATATAAAACAATTATTATTCAGTCTTCGCTAATATCTTCAATGAAAAGTTCAAATATAATAATATTGTCGGGACTGGCCTTCTGTGCCATTAGTGGTGCTCTGCTTTATGTGGTGCGACACCAGACACGACGCCATTATCTAAATGCCGCCAAAATTGTTAAGATAATTATATATCCGGTTAAATCTCTCCCTGGCATTGAAGTGAATGAGGCCACTGTCACCAAAAGTGGTCTCAAATGTGGACTCTTTAGAGATAGGTTTGTATTCATATGAAATGAAAAGTTTTCTAATTGTTTGTGATTATAGGTCCTGGGTATTAGTCAACGAAGAGAATCGCTTCGTAACACAAAGAACTGAGGAATCATTAGCTCTGTTGAGACAAAGTCTTCACGACAATGAGCTTTGGATTGATGGCCCGAATATGCCAACACTTAAGCTGACAGTCAAATTCAACAAATCTGCCAATGATATTGTTATACAAACAAAGTATTCAATATTAGATACATTTTAACTTTATAAAAGTTTTCTAACTTAATGACTAGAAATTTTGATACATTGGCAACTTTAGACTTTTTGCCACAAAATTAATTAAATTATTATACAAAACTTACAAAGAGTTTGGGGCCAATCAACTGAAGGAATATATTGTGGTGAAGAAGCAGAGGAATGGTTTTCAAAATACTTACATAAACCTGGATTTAAACTCATTCAACACATCCCACAAAATGCAATGAGAAATAGTAGCGCCGAACGCAATGACAAAGTGATAGAAATGAGTAGATTTCCGGTTAGTTATTCACATACAGTATATCAATACCATATGAATTCAAATAATAACATTATTTTAGATTGCATTTCAAGACGGGTCCGCTCTTCTGGTTATAAATCAGAATTCAATCAATGATTTAAATGAAAGGCTTCCCAATGAGACTAAAGTGAGTCACAAAAACTTTAGACCAAATATATTGATCACCGATTGTGAGGCCTTTGAAGAGGACAACTGGAAGTACGTTAAGATTAGAGACATTGACTTCACTTTCTTGAAGCCGTGTGACAGATGTGTATTGACTACAATAAATCCCGACACCGGTAT